ATCTTCATTCAAACATTTTAACAAACATCTTGTGAGCATAGAGTATGTGCATTCTAGTTTAACAATGGTGGAACATGTGGCCCTCCCAAATTTCAACGAAGTAGAGGAAATTCTAGTTTACTACTCCGTACACATAATAACCACATAATTGTCGACCAATGTGGACCCCCCACCATAAAAATTTCTTAAGAAACTACATAGGGGAAAATTTGATGATTAGGGAACTTGGGAGATGGGATGTACATTGTTATCTTCCAATTAAAATACAAAAAGAAGAAGAAAAGGAGAAAGAAGAACATACCTTGTAGAGTTTAGGATGAGAGCAAGAGAAAACTTGAGAAAATGTGAGAGAGGAGAAGAAGATGCTCGACAGAAGCATCGTGAGGGAGAAGAGTGTTTTTTTTAATTTTTGATTTTTGAATTTGGGTGTTTTGAGTTTATTTGGGTTATGGTTTAAGTTGAGAAAGGGATGGGTATGGGTAATAAATGGGTTATAATGTTAGGGGTCGTTTGGTTGAAATATGATTTATACTGGTATAAGTTATGCCGGTATAAGTTATATTGGTATAAATTATGCTCGGATTAGTTATGTTGGGATTATTGTTCATTCATTGTTTGATATGTTGTATTAAGAATGACAATTGCATAATTTTTAAGAAGAAGGTATAAGTTATACTGGTACTAATTACCCCACCTTCTATAAGGTATAAGTTATCCTAGTATTAAAATTAACACCGGAATAACTTATACCTGGTTTACTAACCAAACAGAGTATTAAAATTTGCTTTATTTCTCTGTTCGACACCTCAGCTTGGCCACTCGTTTGAGGATGATATGTTGTCGCAACTCTATGGCGGACTCCATATTTAGCTAGAAGGTTATTCAACAACCGATTGCAAAAGTGTGTCCCTTCATCACTTATCAAAGCACGTGGAGTCCCAAACCTCGAAAATATGTTTTCTTTCACAAATGCAGCTACCACAATACATCATTTGTTGGCAATGCGATCGCCTCTACCCATTTTGATACGTAGTCAACTGCTAACAAAATGTATTTGTTTCTTCTGGACGATGGAAATGGTCCAATAAAATCTATCCCCTCATACATCAAAAATCTCAACCTCCAGGATGATATTCAAAGGCATCTCATGCCTCCTAATGATTGTTTCTATTCTCTGACACTGGTCACACTTCTTAACAAATGCATAGGCATCCTTGAATAAAGTTGGCCAAAAGAAATCGGATTGTAATACCTTTGCAACTGTTCTATCTCCTCCATGATGGCCCCCATAAGGTGATGCATGACAATCATACAACACAAATTCTACCTCCTTTTTTGGAATGCATATCCGCATCAACTGATCAGCATATTGCTTGTACAGATATGGCTCATCCCAATAGTAGAAGTTCACATCATGTAAAAACCTCTTTCTAGTTTCAGATTCAATTTCAGGAGGAAGTACCCCACTCACAAGATAATTCACATAGTCTGTGTACCATGGGGGAGGGTCTTGGGTGATAGCAAAAAGTTGTTCATCAGGAAGTATTTCTTTAATTTGGCCACCCTCCTCCACGTGGTCGTGATTTTTCAGCCTTGATAGATGGTCAGTTACTTGGCTCTCTGTGCCCTTTAGATCTCGTATTTCTACATCAAATTCATGCAACAACAAAACCCAGCACATCAATCTAGCCTTAGATTCTTTTTTTGTAAATAGATACCTGATTGATACATGATTGATATGGACTATGACTTTTGTTCCCACCAAGTATGCCCGAAATTTCTCAAAGGCCCACACAATGGCTAACAACTCTTTTTCAGTGGTGGTGTAATTCAGTTGTGCATCATCAAGAGTCTTACTCGTATAGTAGATGGAATAAAACACATTGTCTTTCCTCTAGCCTAGCACTGCTCCAATAGCATGATCACTCGTATCACACATAAGTTCAAATGGTAAAGACCAATCTGGTGCCACAATAATGGGAGCAGCCACCAACTTCTTTTTGAGTTCTTCAAATGTCTTGAGGCAGGCGTCATCAAAATTGAAAGTTAAATCTTTTTCAAGCAACCTGCACAAAGGAGTATCAATTTTAGAAAAATCCTTAATAAAGCACCGATAGAATCCCACGTATCCCAAGAAACTCCGGACACCCTTCACAGAAATAGGTGGAGGTAATTTTTCAACCGCCTCCGCCTTCGCCTTATCAACTTCAATGCCGCTCCTAGACACTCTGTGAGCCAACATGATGCCTTCCTACACCATAAAATGGCACTTTTTCCAATTCAATACCAGATTTGTTTTTTCACAACGGGCCAGCACCTTGCTTAAATTCTTCAAACAATCATCATAAGAAGACCTAAAGACTGAAAAATCATCCATAAAAACTTCCACAAATTTTCCACCATATTAGTGAAAATAGCCATCATGCATCTCTGGAAGGTAGCTGGTGCATAACAAAGACCAAACAGCATTCGCTAATTCGCTTGAAGACGAAAGTGCCATAGGGACAAGTAAAAGTGGTTTTCTCCTAATCTTCTGGGCATATGAAAATCTAATTGTATCCCGAATAACCACCAAGGAAGCAATAATATTCATGCCCCGCTAATCTGTCTAATATTTGGTCAATGAATGGAAGTGGAAAGTGGTCCTTGCGGGTTGCTTTGTTGATAATCAATGCAGACTCTCCACCCCGTCACTGTGCGAGTAGGAATTAGCTCATTTTTCTCATTCTCAATCACAGTCATCCCCCCCTTTTTGGGCACACATTGAACTGGGCTTACCCAGTTGCTGTCAGAAATAGGAAAGATGATACCTGCATCGAGCAACTTAATTACTTCCTTCTTCACGACCTCCTTCATAATAGGATTTGACCTCCTTTGTTGTTCAACACTGGGGCGGTGTCCATCTTCCAGGAAAATTTTATGCATGCAAAACGATAGGTTGATTCCCTTGATGTCAACAATTGTCCACCCAATAGCCTTTTTATGCTCGCGAAGTACTCTGAGTAATTTTTCTTCTTGTGTGTTAGTCAAGCTGGATGAGATAATTAAGCGCAATGTCTCAGAGTTCCCCAAATAAACATAACACAGATGCACGGGTAGGGGCTTAAGTTCTAGCTTTGAAGCTTCTTCAATAGATGGCTTATGATGGGTCAGAGTGACAGGCCTGTCCAACTCCTCAAATTTCCCAAATCCATGGACATAACTGTAGGACATATCAAGTACTTTCTCAATTTCTCCCATCATTTCATCTTCACTAATTTCTTTATCCCCAATCAAAGCTCGTTCAAGAGGACCTATAGGGCTCATATAAGGTACTAAAGATGTAGCATCACTTTCCACCACAGAAATCATGGATAGCTCTTCATAGTGGGCTGGCAATCTGAGTGCTTTATATACATTGAATGCCTCCACTCGATCACCTACTCTCATAGTCATCTTTCCTTTGCAAACATCAATAATAGCTCAGCCCGTGGCTAAGAATGGACGCCTTAAAATAAATGGGACTTCATGATCAAGTTCGTAGTCCAAGATAATGAAATCAACATGGAATATGAAAGAACCCACTTAAACTAACGCATCTTCAATCACTCCTTCAGGATGAGCAAGGGAGCGGTCAGCCAACTGTAAGATTACCGTTGTTAGGCGTCGCTCACCCAACCCCAACTGTCTGAATACAGATAGCGGCATTAAATTGACGCTCTCTCCAAGATCACATAAAGCTCGCTTGACTGCATGCTTACCAATCGAGATTTGGATAGTGAAACTAACAGGATCCTTCAATTTTCGAGGTAGCTTGCTTTGAATTCTTAAGCTACACTCCTTAGTGAGTGCCACAGTTTCAGAATCGGTCAGCCACCTTTTATTTGCCACTATGTCCTTGATGTATTTTGCATATTTGGGCACTTCTTGCAAGATGTCTACCAATGAAATATTAATTTGCACCTGCTTCAAAATATCAAGAAATTTTTTATACGCGGTATTATCCTTCATTTTCTACAATCTTTGAGGGAATGGAGGTGGTGGCCTCGCAACCAATAGTGGGGGCTTCTCAACCACCGCCTCTTCAGCTGGCTTCTCTAACTCCTTTGATTTTTCTGATTTTGATTCTAAAGTGGCTGGCCTCTCATTAAAAGTCACCCGTTTTCTCCTTTTTGATAGACTTCTTCTAATTGTCTCTCATTCCTCAATTATACGACATAAATGGATACCTTAGGATTAGCTTCAGTGTCACTTAGAAGAGCTCCAACTGGTCTAGTATTTTGGGCACTAGCAAATTGTCCCACTTGGCGCTCCAAATTTCTCATTGCTGTGGTTTAGGCTTACTGATCAGCCATCAATTTCATCATTTCCTCAAGGTGACTTGTTGAGTTTGCATGTTGTTCAGCCTGAGGTGGTCTAAATTGTTGTTGAGGTGCTTGTGGTCGGTATTGATTTTGAGCACCTTGATTTCCACCCCAAGAGAAATTTGGGTGGTTCCTCCAGTTGGGATTGTATGTGTTCCCATATTGGTTTGTCTGGCCCCTAGTTGCATTACCCACAAAGCAGATAGACTCTGTATTAACTGGGCATAAGTCGCTCGTGTGAACCCTCTCCACATACTTCAAAAAACACTTGAACCTGTTGCACTGGTTGAGCTTGTTGCTTGTTAATAACCATGGTCATCTGATTGACTTGGTTGGTCAGTGTAGAAATCTGCGCTGATATTGCTGAGACGACATCTAATTCGAGAAACCTTGTAGATTTTTGCACCGTGTGTCTGCCCATTTCTCCTTGCCAATCCGGATTTCTTTTGGAGAATTTGTTCAATAATGCATATATCTCGTCAAAGATTTTCTCCAACACTTGACCTCCAGCTGCAACATCTACCACAATTTTTGTTTTAGGATGGAGCCCTTCTATGAAGTATGATCTAACACTTCATTTGTCTGATTGTGACGAGGACAGTCTCTGAGTAGCCCCTTGAACCTCTCCCAAGCTGAGTATAGAGACTCTCCCGCCTTCTATTTGAAGGCGACTATCTCAATTCTGATCTTTGCAGTTTTGCCTGAAGGGAAGAACCTTGCCAGAAATTTCCTTGCTAGATCATTCCATGAAGTAATAGAATTAGTTGGTTCTGCCTTCAGCCATCGCTTTGCTTTGCCCAACAGAGAGAATGGGAAAAGTGTGAGCCTCACATAGTTTGGAGTGACCCTGTTAGTGATATAAGTATCACTAATCTCCAAGAAGTTCAGGATATGCTATTGTGAATCCTCGTGTGGAAGACCCATAAACTGCCCATTCGAATGAAGTAGCTGGATCATGCTCTGTTTCAGCTCAAAGTGCCCAGTGATCCTAGGCTTCACAAAGCTGGAAGTGATATTAGCAATGCTGGACATTGCCACCTCCTGAACAGCCATATGTTCCTCTGCCATGTTCACAAGAAATTGAACAAGTGCCTGAATATTATTCGTGTCCCTTGATTCCCTCAACCTCCTATGAAATGTTCTCTCAAGTTTGGGGTCAAAGTCTTGAAGTCGGTCCTGGCTTCTGACCCTGCGCATTCAATCAAAGTTCCTAAAATCAGAGCAACAATCAAGTAGCGTTAGTCTTCACGAAATGAACAATGAAAGCAAAAAGTAGAAAGTAGTCAATATTCAAGTCCCCGGCAACGGCGCCAAAAACTTGCTGCTCCCAAATGCGCATGCAAGTATACGTGGTCGTACAAGTAATAAAATGATAAGTCGAGTGTCGAACCCACAGAGACTTGTATCAACTACCCACTAAATTCACCAAGATTGTTATTCAGTCAAGCCAAATTCGAGTTCAAGAATGTGATTATACTAAACTATAATTCTAAGTAGTAACTAAATTATCAAGCAGTAAAATGATTGTTATGTATTCAATAGAGACAAATATTCTAGGGTTGTGATCGATTTACAATCCTATTGTGTTCTAGTTAACTCTCCTTCTCATACAATTCACTCATGGTTGCTAATTAATCGATAAATGCTCTCATAGCCTTCTCCCAAAGTAATACTCACCTATTCAAAATAAACTAACGCCTATATTCCTATGGAATCAATCTATCAAGAATGCATTAAGATTATGCTATATAATTAAGTATGGTGATTAGGTATATTCCTATCCTAATCACAAATCCGCCCCCCAAGAGTTAAGATCACGCTCTCTTCAATTCTTCTCTAATCTAAACATGGATTTCTCAAGCATAGCATAGATAATAAATAGAACCTAATTGTTGGCCAGACAATTAAGCAATTAATCACAGAATTGAAGAAACAACCATATATTAGTGAATTGTAATAAAGGTTAAGTCAATGTTAAACAACAATATTCATGGCTAAAACACAACCCCGGAACTATGGGTTTTTAGCCACTCATGATAGTAGTAAATAATTTCATAAGTGTTAGATAATTGAAAATACTAAGAAAAGATGAAGAAATCTGAGATATTCCTTCTCCCGAATGTTTTCCGTGTGTAAATCCTCTTCAAAGTGGCATCCCTCCTCTAAAAATAAGCTTAGTCTTACTTTTATACGTGTTGGGTAGGTGTAGGGCCGAAATAACCTTATCCCGGACAAAATTGGACAGGATTCACGCCACCAGCGCCCAGCGCTAGGCGCTATTAATTTGGAGCATATTGTCTCTGACGCCACAGGTAGCGTGGGGCGCTGCCTGTGGCGCTGAAAATGCTATTTTTTGCTTTTTTGTCCGTTTTGGTTCTAATCTCGGACCTTTCGCCCTCAATTGCTCCCGAATCATTCCTACACATAAAAATACCTCAAATTAATATAAATCAACACATTTTATATCCTAAATCCATGAAATAAAAGTAAAACATGAGGCGATATATATNTTGTGGGCCTTAGCTATGGATATGCTACTATGTATATATATGGACAATGTTTCTTGTAGCTAACAGTGTAAGAGATGTCATGTGAATTTTGTTTGTGAACTTCATTAACCTTGATCTTAAGTTCTTAAACTTTTACAGAGTTTACTTTCTGATTCTTCTTTCCTTTTTTTGGAGTACTTTATGTATAATTCACTAAAGATAATTGATGATGAAACATTAAGGAAAAGGAGTTTAAGGCAAAGAAAGGATATGCAATGTGAATTAAATTTGCAAACCGAATTGAAAAGAGAACACAAAAACAAATGCATATGCTCAAGCCAAACGAAATTCTGTGAATCTATAACTTTGTATATATGCCTAAGGAATTTGATAAGCATAGCCCAACTTGCGTAGTAAATACAAGTTNTGCTGGTAGTACCTCTGAAACTAAAATCTCTTTGAATGTAATTTCTTACTGTTACGACCAATTAAATCACATTTTATATCACTTCAAAATTAGATGAATTAACCCTTGTAAAGTTAAAATTAAGTAAGAGCGATAAGATGAGATAATGTTGCTTTGCTGATAGAGCGCCTCCACTTCCAACCATGAAAAACTTAGAAAAATTGGTGAGATGGTCTTTCACCGCCAATTTCTTTAATTTTCAGTTTGGGTGATGAACCTAACCCCGATGAACATAGCATAACCAGTCTTGAACTTGAATTGGATAAACTTAATTTAGGAGGAAAATGGACTCTTATCATGAAGACAATATAGGCCACAATGTGAAATAAGTAAGAGAGTGTAGCTGCAATATTAATAGAATCTCTTTTTTATTTTAAGATAGAAAAGCACCACAAATTTCCAGAACAAAAAGAAAAGTGCATTTCAATTCAAAAAAAAAAAAAAAAA